TCTAGCCTATTGCTTCATCTCCCCTCCCTTGTCCCCCCTCTCCACGCTCCCCACTTGGTAACCACGACACCCACCCCTTGGTAACCTCCAAAGTCTGTTCCCTTTGGTATGAAACCCCGTGTTTGTTTGTTTTTCTCTGTAACAGTACTCTCATACAATATTTGTCTGTTTGTGATTGACAAATCTCACTCGCGTAATGTTATCCAGGTTGACCATGCCTCAAGTTGTGCTTTCATCATTATTTTTTTAACAGTACATAGGATTCCATTGTGTGTATGTGCCGAAGTTTCTTTACCCATTCTTCCACTGATGGGCATTTCGGTTGTTTCCGTCTTCTAGCTGTTGTGAACAGTGCTGTGATGAATATGTTTGTTCATGTTAGGACTCTTGACTTCTTTTGGGTGAATACCCGGAAGAGGGATGTCTGGGCCACATGGAATTTCTATTTCCAGATATTTGCGGTCACACTGTATCGACTTCCACAGTGGTATACGTATTTACAGTTCTACCAACACTATATGAGGATTCCAGTCTCTGCATCCTTTTCCACATTGTTTTCAGTTTGAAAAAAATTTGGCTGTTATTGTCAGTGTATGGGATAATCTCATCGTTGCTTTGATTTAAAGCATCGTTGTTGTTGTCTTACGTTAAAGATGTTTTACTCTATCTGGAAAGTTTCTTAAATTATTTTATGTACTGAAGAGTATACTATATACTCAGACAAGCATTTGACTAAATGTCTTTAGATATAAACTGTTCCTAACTGTTCCAATGTACATATAAATCTGACTTAAAGACAAAATTAGAAATGGAGCTAATTCATCAAACACACACTGCCTACATGCAGTTCAGAATAGTGGGGTTGAAAGATGAATGAAATGAGACTTAGAAGAGCATGAATCTAGACTCCCCCTAGACGACCTTGAGCTTCCTTTGGCGTTCAGAGCCTGGGTGTTCTTTTCTCATTGGGAGGCAGGACTGGGCCAGGCGGTGATGCACTTCGACAGAACCCCCCACCCCCACCCCAACCTTTAGCTGTGCTATGTCTTTTCTTTTCTTTCTGTTTTAACATATTAGATGTTGTCTTATTTTCTTAGTTGCTGCTGTAATGGAAATATCACAAGTGAGTGGCTTTTAAAGAAAGGAAACTTATTTTCTCGCCGTTCAAGAGACTAGATGTCTAAATTCAGCCTTTGGCGCGAGGGGAGGGAAGGTCCATTCTCCGTTGCCGATTTCAGCTTCTCCTAACCAGCTGTCCTTGGAGTGCCTGGGATTTTAGATGAGTCTGCTTCCATTGTTTTCACACTGTCTGTCTTCTCCCTGCTCTGCTTCCTTGTCTCTGGGTCTGTGCTGCTGTTTTGGGACATGGTCTACAGAGGAGCCCTAGCGGCGCTGCTAAGTAAGCGTTGGATTGCTAACTTACCAGGCAATTATAGAGAATAATTCAAGGCAGTCTGCTTCTCCTGCAGGGCAATTGTGCGTTGAAAAGGATTCTGTGGCATTGGGTTTGGGTTTTTTGGCTTTATACTGATGAGGCCCCATCACCATACTAAAGAACCCTATTCTCAAACAGGGTAAATTCCACAGGCATAGAGGTTAGGATTCCCACACAAGGAGCCTTGCTGGTAGAGTGGTCACAGGTTGGGTTGCGATCCTCAAGGCTGACAGTTTGAAACCGTCGGCTGTTCCCGAAGAGAAAGACCAGGGTTTCTACTCCCATAAACAGTTACAGTCCTGGAAACTCACAGGGGCAGTTCCACCCTGTCCTATAGGGTCACTAGGAGTCAGCAGCAACTCAATGGAAGTGTTAAAAATTTTTTTTTTAATTGAAGCATATGTTTTCCGTAACAGATATCAAATAAGATTTTGCAGGGGAGAAAAAATTGTCCTTAAAAGTTGAAAATCCATTGGTACCAGATGATCTCTGAGGCCCTTGCAGTTCTAAGGGTGTAATTGTATGAGCTTTAAAATTGAGTCAGAGAGCTGACAGCTGAAATCACAGTGCTAAAAATTTCCCTATAATGTTGTGGATGTTTTGCAGGCTGACAGTCCCGAAGACATGCACAGCTGGATTAAGGAGATTGGGGCAGCTGTCCAGGCCCTCAAATGCCACCCCAGAGTAAGTCACTTCCTTTCTGCTGCACAGTTAGTGTCCACTTGGAGATGAATTCTCCTTGAGTGGGTATGTTCCATTTGGTGATGTAGGCAAGCAGCCCAGTCCCTGGAGGCAGCTCAAGCCCCAGGCTGTCTTGTTTGTTTTTCTTTGTATTTATTTGGCCACATGTTTTTATCTTCTGTCTTTTGGTTGTTGGGGGAGGTGAGGTAGGGTTGGGTAGAGAAGTGGCATTTTCAATGCGTCCAGGTCTCACTGCTAGGTGACTCTGCACCCCAGGGTCAGAGCCAACTGCAGTCGATTCTGCTGAACAGATTTGATTTTTATAGGCCAGGGTCTCTGGACCTGTGAGGTAATGATCCATCCTGGGCAGATGCTTTTCCTTGGGGGTTGGGGGATGAACAGTGTCAGGCAAAGCCGTTAACTTTTTTCCACCTCTTTATTTTTGTAGGAAATGTCCTTTTCTAGATCAATTTCCTTGACCCGACCCGGAAGCTCCACCCTTGCAAGTGGACCAAACCCTGCGCTGTTCAGAGGGCGGCCCCCTGTGGAGGAGAAAAAGACCCTCTGCAAGGCCCCCTCGGTGGCCTCCTCCTGGCAACCCTGGACACCTGTCCCCCAGGCCGGGGAAACGCTGCTGCCAGCTGAAGCGATTCCTGAGGACTCGTTCTTCACGCCCCGACTTGGGGCGAGCAAGACTGCCGGTGGGTTGGCCGGCTCCCGGCTAAGGCACAGATCGGAGCCCCAGCACCTGAAGGAGAAACCGTTCGTGTTCAACCTGGATGATGAGAATATACGGACCTCTGATGTGTGACGCAAGCACAGTGCCATGGAGGGGGCGGTGTCAAGGGGAGAAGGCAGTGAAGTGGTTTATGGGACGGCCCTCAGAGGCACTCATGTTCCTGTGGACTCTGTGGGAGGGGCACATCCTGCCGGCTTGGTTGGGTGTTTTTAGGTACCATTGTGGTGTATTTAATTTGGGAAAATCACTCGTTTGAACCTATAGACACGCTCCATGGAGAGTAGGCAGGTTGTCTCTGGTTGCCTGTTCCACCATCTTCCTAGTAAGGGGTGAGTTTTAGCAGCTCCTCTCCAGGGAGACTGGGAGTCCCATTTCGCCCCTAACCAGGCTTTATTTCCTTGTCCTTGTTTCTGTTCACTTTGTTTCCAGGCCAGGCTCTGAAACTTAGGCCAATCACCTGGCGTTATCCTGTTCTCGGGTTATTGGCTGAAGTTTGACTGTGAAATAGGGTGGTAACTCACCCAGCTGGAAGGAGGAGGTAGGGGTGGTGGAAGCCTCACGCTCCAGCTTGCTTCTGATCCATTCTGAGGACAGGGTCACAACCGAGAATCAATCGGGTTTAGAAGGTCTTCGGAGCATAGAATGTCTCCTGGGGGTTGGCTCTCAAGATGACTTCTTAAGAGGAGCTAAAGGGATTTCAGGGTAAGGTATGGGGAATAATCCAATCCCAGTGCATCGGACAGTTCTGGAAATTACTGTTTTCTTCTAGATGTCCAAATACTATAGAGTCCGCATTGGGATGTGAGAGACACCCAGTGTCTGTGCCAGGCATCGAGGATAGGTGTATCAGTGTTAGGGTTGTTGGGTTGTTGGGAACATGGGCTGTGTAGAGAGTGTAAGAGTTTGCTAATTCACATGTGTGATAAGTCACATCTCTATTTCAGTGTTGCAGGTTTGGTTTACAGCGGGTGTTGTGAAGAGAGGGATTATATACATTTAAGCATCTTTGATCTGTGTTTCCCAGGCAGAAGAAAAAATCTATTTTAGCAAAGACATTACCTTAAATCCTTACCTCACAGCCCACACTCCCCCCAACCCACTTCTTCCCCCTATAATGGGCCATTATTTTAAGTGCTATGTATTTGATATCCTGGTAGACTTACGTACATTTTATTTTGTGTGTGTTGCCTTTTGAGTGAAACTGTATGCTTGCATAATCAAACCCTGTAATTCTAATGAGGGTCCATGTCTTTAATAGCTAAGAGACACAAAAATAATCTTGAGATTTATATTTTTAATAAAATAGAAACTGGTATAGAAACATTGATTGAGAGGTTATGACTTTAGAGGCTAGAGAGTTCCCAGGTAGAAGAGCCTAGATTGTGTTTTAGGGTATTCCTTTTTCCATTTGATGAGCAGATACTATTTCCGTGTCCCTGGAAGAATTTGCCCGTCCAACTTGGGGTTGGACCCTAAACCAGGGGTTCCCTACAAGGAGAAATATCTCCGCTTGTTTCCATCTATGACTTTACTCACCCTGATGAATTATATTTTTAAGTTAAAAATTAATGATTAGAGGAAGAGCCTTAAACAAGGCACTTTTATCTAAACAAACTCCCTCCTTCTTTATGTCCAAATTCAGTGTGGAGGCTGAAAACACTTGACCACAAGATTCTGAGTAGCTTAAGAGGACCCTTATCTTTCTGTTGGGCTATCTAATTCTTTGATGTGTCACGCTGAGAACTTTTCCTGAGAGTACTGCATCGGCAACTATCCTGAACTTAAACTTGATATGGCCTAGTGATTCTGGTATTAAAAAAAAGGGATAGGGAGTCAATCAATTTCACTCTTTCTCTTTTTACAGATTCTTGCGTACGTTTGACCTCAGAAATGCTTAGCTTGGGAATTATTTAATAATGTGTGATTGAGACTACAACATTAAATAGCTTGGGTTTTAAAAGCCATTTGATACTCTTAATTAAAAGTTCCTTGTCTCTGGTTTTACCTTTTAATTTTTCTCAAGAAAACCCATGGGCATGTGATGTTGGACTCATGAAATGAAAACTTGATCTCCTGCTAAATATTCATTTGTTTGTGGAAAAGATGGCATCTTTTGGTATTTGAGTTTTGAAAACCTCTTTTGAAATACACTGTCTGCCAGATTACTACGGTTAAATTATTTGGCCAATAATAGTAAACCGATCTGCTGACTATTCAGTAAAGTCTACTTTGAGAATGTGTGAGATGAAACATATCCAGACTGTTATTATCTTGATAAGGGAAAGCAAAGTTAATTGGGGCATGAGCCACAAATTTCAGTTGGAATTTGGGAATTTCAAATGAGACCCTGGTTAACAACAAATAAAAATGATCTTCAGTGAAATCATCTAAGAAAAGCATGCACATTTCCAAACCTTATTTCAGAATTCCTTTTTATGGGCGTGGGTGCGATGGGGGGGCTTCCTTCAGGCTAATGCCAGTAGTACACATGCTGGTCAAAGATGCTCCGTGTCCGTACTGGGAGGAAATAGAATATGTGTACAGCACAAGTTAGCGGTGGAAAGTACAGGCTCTGGAATAAAACCAAGTTGACAACAAAAAGGAGCCAGGGACTGCTTCTTGTGGATGCAAACTCACCACCTAGCGCACCGAGTGACGCTGTGCCCAGCAGGACAGGAGTCAGGATTTCAGGCGGTCTTCCCAGTGGCTGAACTGATCTGGCCAGTGACCATTCCTGAATGCTTTGAAGTCAGTTAAAAGCAGTTTGGCTTTTTACATTCTGTGAGGTAACACACCTGTGCTGTTAAGAAGTGCATTGTGTAGAGTGCTTTCAGGTCAATATAAGAGGTACACATCTGTTTCTCAGCACGAAGAGCTCCGGTGAGAGAGTAAATTTACAATTCAGGGGTTCAGCTCACCCGAAACAAGGGTTTTTCTCCCTTTCCTACTCTTGATATGGTCTAAAAAGACCCAGAGAATCAATACCCGGTGAGTCAATGGAGCAGTGGGGGCGATGCTTGTTATCACTGTTAAATTAGATAACAGGCAGGCAACAAGAGGCTAGAAGTTGAGTTTCCACAGTCAACTTGGTTTATAAACATTCATGTCAGACTAGTGTATTAGACATTTTCTACAGCATCTCTTCTTAGCCCACCCGACCCACCGATTCTGTTTTTCCTGTTATGCCTGCAACAATTAGCTTCCTGCTAGGTAAGCGTGTGATTAAAGCGTATGCCTGGCCGGAACCCGCCGCCGTTTGACCCCGTCCCGCAGCTTCTGAAGGTGTGGCATGCATCTGTGTTTTGGACCAGTCTGTCGGAGCTGTGAAATGCACTCGCCGTGCGGCTGGAGCCAAGTGCATGGAAACTGTTACGCTTCGCATTCGATGTGATCACCTAATTGGTGTGTAGCAAAAAATAATTTTCTAAAACTGTTTTGTTGCTTGTTTTGTAATAAAACCATGTGAAATACTGAAATGTGGTGGTGTGTGCTTCTAATGCTGACCTCGGCCTGGCCCGTGGGTGGGCCTGGCGGGGCTTGGGGTGCAAGGGGGGAGGCTAGGGGTGGTTTGGGATTTCTGCCTCTTAAAAGTGCGAGGGTTGGCAGAGGAGGCATCGCATCCAGGAGGGGTTCCGTTGCTCTCTTGGAGTGGAGTCCCTGGAAGCGAAGGAGCAGGATGACTGGACCCCAGCTGGGGCCCGCTGGGCTCGGCCAGTTCCTCCTGATGTGGCTGTTGCTGCTGCTGCCCGCGGCGCCCGTGTCCAGAGTGGAAGCGAGGAGACCCCGGACGTCCACGCCCTGCCCCTCGGCCTGCGAGCCGACGCGCTGCCCCCCGCTGCCC